AGACCTTTTTATTTAAGTGGCATTTTAACTGTTAGTATTACTAGATTTTATCTGGCCAGGGTGTCTTATTTTATATTGTATTTTTGTATTTTTAATTTAATGTTTATATTTATTGTAATTTATATTATAATTACTTTTAATTTATTGTTGTAAGCTGTCCCGAGGCTTCGGCGAATGGGGTGGCATAAAAATGGTTTAATAAAATAGAAAATAAAAAATAAAATAAATGAATTTAACTTATTTCCAGCAAGATTATTGTGAGAATGGGGAACACATTTTGGCACATTGACTTAAACACAGAAACATTGAATGTAATTGCCATGATTAAAGATGAAAATAACAAGATATAAACTTTTCTGCAGAAGTAAATTTATAGTTGTTAAGGTTATATTGGAACTAGTAAATAGACTATCAATATAGTAGATATACTGTGAGTACAGTAAAATATCAAAGTAGCATATGGTTGCCTTTTTTCCAGATCAATCTTCAAATATAGATTCTTTACAACAGCAGTTTCTTTTAGCTCTTTTGTGAGCAGAAATTAAGAGGGTAATTAGAAATATGAATTCTGGGAAACCACTGGTCCAGGCAGGTTTTCCATTGATATAAAACCTATTCTTTCTTCTTGTTTCTAAAACTACTCCGTTTGTATTCTTTTATTTTTGATGCAGGCTCACTCTCTTGCTTCATTAAATATCCCTGTTCTATAGTGCTCGCAAATCCAGCAAGGAACATATTTAATGTGCTAACAAACAATTCCTCTTGTTAATTAATGCTGATAGTAAAATACTGGTTGCAATTTTGGCTGATCAATTGCAACACATTATGATTATATTGGATTTCCATCCCACCTTTTTTCCTCTCATGAGGAACCCATGACAGCTTACATAGTTCTGCACTCATTTTTAGTCTAAGCACAATTAACAATCCTGTGAAGTAGGGTAGTCTGAGTCTGTGACTGGTCAAAAGTCCTCTAATGAGCTTCCTAGCTGAGTTGGGTTTTGAACCTCGTTCTCCCAGGCCCTGGTGCAGTACACTAAGCTCCTCTTCATACTGGCTTATTGCAAAAACCATACATTTTTACTTTAAAAATTGGAAAAAATGTTTCTGTACAGAGTTGGATGGACAAGTTGATTTTACCTTAGATCAGTTAGTGCGGGAAGATTATGAGTGATTGGCATGGATGCCAATTATGATTTGCCTGTGGTGGTAGAAGGGAATACTTACAGTTACATCATTTATTAGAATCCAGGATTAGTCCTGCCACATTTTCAGCCCCACATACTCCTCAGTTACTGGAATGCCTGTTGTGGCAGGTGCATGTCTATGGATATCTATTATCACTGAATTAGTATGCTACATTGGGCCTAATAGAGGAATGGGATGCAGAACTGAAATGTCCTAGTGGATTTGAACAGTGGAATGCTACTTCAGGCTGCATTCTTGCAGTTTCGACAGACTTCAGACTATGCCTTATTCACATGTATCCCTCAATTATTGGATGCCATTGTAAAATCCATTGATATTTCTCAGTTGCTTAGCAGTGCAATTTTATGCATGTCTAGTCAAAAGCAAGCCCTATTGAATTTAATGAAGTTTGCTGCTAGGTAGGTGTGCACTGGACTGTGCACTTAAATCAGCAAATCACATTAGTATGTGGGTTATTCACTATTCACAAAATGCTGTCACTATGAGTGGAAGGAGTCAGCAGAATGATTCATATACAGGCAGTCCCCGAGTTACAAAAAATTAGCAAGTATAGACAAAGAAGCATGTATTGCTAGCCAAATAAGAAACAGATGTTTATTCAGCAAGGAAGAACTGTAACAGTAAAACTAGAGATGCTACATACATGATTAAAAAATAGCCACCTCATTTGTAGGGTTCATCACATGTGTTCACAAGTTAATCTGTGTATATCTTGTATGCTAATTATTCTGGAGGAAATTAGTGTTTTTTTCTGTTTACAAATGGATAATTGAAACAGATCAGTTATTAAACCTTCACAGAAAGTATGGATAAATTTATTTTTATTATTTATTTATTAAAACATTTTTATGCCGCCCCATTCGCCGAAGCCTCGGGGCGGCTTACAACAATAAATAAAAGTAATTATAATATAAATTACAATAAATATAAACATTAAAAATCCAAAAATACAATATAAAATAAGCCGCCCTGGCCAGATAAGATCAAGTAATACTAACAGTTAAAATGCCGCTTAAATAAAAAGGTCTTCGCCTGGCGCCGAAAAACAAATAACAATGGCGCCAGGCGGACCTCTCTGGGGAGCGCATTCCATAACTTAGGCGCCACTGCAGAGAAAGCCCTCCTCCGTGTACCCACCCTCCTAATTTCTTTCACGGAGGGTTCCCGGAGAAGGGCCTCTCCCACTGATCTCAGGGGGCGGCCGGGCATATATGGACGTAAGCGCTCCTTCAGGTAACCAGGACCCAAGCCGTTTAGGGCTTTATAGGTCATCACCAACACCTTGAATTGGGCCCAGACTTCAATGGGAAGCCAGTGAAGCTGACAGAGAACTGGAGTCATGTGACCATAACGCCCAGTCCCCGTCAGCAGCCTGGCAGCTCTATTTTGAACCAACTGAAGTATCTGGACCGTCTTCAAGGGTAGCCCCACGTAGAGCGCGTTACAGAAGTCAAGGCGGGAAGTCACCAATGCATGTGTCACTGTCGCAAGGCAGTCGTACTCCAGGTAGGGGTGCAGCTGATGAATCAGCCGAAGCTGGAGGAAAGCGCTCCTCGCCACTGCTGTTACCTGAGCTTCCAGTGAAAGCTCCGGGTCGAGGAGCACTCCCAGGCTGCGGACCTTGTTCCTAGGAGGGAGTGCAACCCTGTTCAGGACAAGGTTCAATTCACCCTCTCCGAAGCCCGATCTGCCAACCAACAGGACCTCCGTCTTGTCTGGATTGAGCTTCAATTTATTGGCCCTCATCCAGCCCATTACCTCGGCCATAAATGATGCTTACTATTGCAAAGTAGTGTTTCATACATATTTTCCTCTCTCTAGGTAATTTTGAAAAGGAGTATGATGATGTCACCATTAAGATGATCTTTGGTATAGTTCAGGTAATTGGGTTTTCCAATTCCATTTGCAACCCCATCGTGTATGCCTTTATGAATGAGAACTTCAAGAAAAACTTCGTCTCTGCAATTTGCTTTTGCGTTCTAAAAGAAAACCGGGCCCCATCTAAGCGACATGGAAACTTGGAAATTACGATGATACAACGAAAGGAAGCTGTTTGTAAGAGAGAGACAGTCTCCTTAGATGAGAGCGGAAGAGAAGCATTCAGTGAAGGGAACATTGAAGTAAAACTCTGTGATCAGCCCTTTGCCAAAAAGAATTCCAGGAGACACCTTGCTCTGTTTACATCTGGACTTGCTGGGCAGGCTTCACTGGGTTGCTAACGTAATGGGTACTTCTTTTAACCCTTTTCTTCTAACATTGGGAAAATGAGAGAAACTTACGCTAGGCTTTTTCAATTTTCAGTTCAGGCTATTGACATCAGGGGCAGTGCATTCGGAGGGTATATCCTCAAGAACTGGATTTCTGTTGGATCGATCTGCAAGCAGTGATCCTAAGAACCAATCCAATCAACTCTTCTCTTACCTCAACATAATGTAGGTGTTCATTTCTACTGTTGGGGATTGGAGCAGCGTTTTTCTTCTTCTACTTCTTTCCATTAATTTGAAAAGTTTCTTGTGGACCACATTAGATTTCATATTTTTTTTCTTTCATGTGTTCTTCTCAAATTTAAGAATGGAAAACGTCTTTGCTAGGCAAATTGCCTTTGATTCATTTAACTTGAAAGTGCTTGGAGAAATGCGTTTTTTAATTGAGAACCATTCATGTTTTGAGGGATCTTGGCACATATTAAGAACAAAACATTGTAAACATGTTGCACTAATTCAGATTTCACCCAAGGTTAAGTCCTACCATTTTATGATCTTCATAGAAATGTACTGGTTTAATGTGGTACTTTATCATTTTTGAGCTTGTTTCTCCAAACATTGACTTACAGTGGAAACTTTGTAGTCCTGGATGCAGTTTTGTCTGGTTTTGGTGTAATATGAATTTTCTTGAAAAAAAATAGAAATTCAAACAATGCAAGAGAATATTTTGTGCATTGTATTGCTGTCAATTGCTGTTCAGTGATAGCAACATTTTCAGGAATGTTTCAATAATGAATGTAATGTAAATATGGGCAATGCATTTTGTAATCCAGGTGCTGATGTGTGTTTTTGGGGGGCTAAAATTATCATTTAGTTACTTTCACATCACTGCTATCCCGAAAAACAGAATATTCTCAAAATGTTTTGGGCATCTACTCCAACTGGAATGGTGCACAGTCAGCAGGTTAGTGACAGCTGCAGCATTTTTTGAAACTAATTTCTGCATATGGAAAGGTAACACGGAAAGTACTCTCATAGTCATTCTCTTTCTGAAGAGGAGACTAATCTCCATTGATTTCAGTGGTATTGACTTATGAAAAAACCTGTATAGGATCATACAGTTCCTGTCTTAAGCATTGACTGTGTATAAGGCTAGAGCATTCTGTTAGTGCATGAGGTCAGATGTATATTGCCTGATATAGTAATTATGTTGTTCTTTCCCAGAATTATAACAGACTTCAGTGCCAAGGTCTATGTATAGTAGTGTTTTGCTGAGATCTCATCAGCTGTTCCAACAACCCTTGAGGAGATCGCTGTAGGTATTATTGACAGTATCATCATGTAGATGTGGGCATGTTATTTTGACTGCCACTTGAAGCAATTGCTTAGACATACAAATTCTCTTGATAAGTGGGAAATCAAGGTTTTGGTCATCCTCGAATACATGTTGTGATAAGTTTACACAGCTTCCCATTATGTTCATATTCCATAAAGGAGTATTTATTTGAGCAACTAGAGTTTGCCTTCACTACTGCATTCTCTTATTTTGGATTAATTTGAATGTATTTATATGCCATTTTTTTCTACAGGGTGTTTAAAGTGATTTACAGTAAATACTAGTATACAGAGACACAACATCACAATTAAACATGTTACAACAGATTCAGTTAAGTCAAAGCCAAGAATCCATATGAAATTAATAAGCCTCAGTTCAATTCAGTACCACAGGGAAATTATCTTGAACAGCCTTCTGCAAGTGGTGCCCAGTGGATGTGCCAGCTTTCAACTCCCATCATTTCTAGCTAGCATGGCCATTTCATCCCAGTGCATCTGGAGGGGACCCTGGTGGGAAAGTCTGATCTGCATTATATAAGTACAAAGAAAAATCAATATTTGCATGATAAAACAAGCAACAAACACAAACCAGTTTCTTGTGTTGATCTTCCTGCATCCAAGCAGCTGCACAGCAACTCCACTTTGATACAGTTCAGGAATGAGACCTTCTCAGCAGGCCAGATGGTTTGCAGTTGCTTGGATAGTGATGGCCAAGATGGCATCAACAGTAGCAGTGTTCAGTCCTTTCCATCCTGCAGTTATTGCCATTTGGTAAAGTAGGTGCTATTTCATGTACAAATGGGCAATGAAGAAAGAGTTGGACAACAGCACTTCACAACAAATTACTGCTTCACTTCTGTTGAAGCTGGAGATTGACTGATGGGCAGCAAACAGGCATGCAACAATCTTTCTCTTGTGGTCCAGTGCAGAAAAAAGTGCCGAAGCAACCCATGTCTACACAGTACTGTGAAATATGGCATATATTAATATTACAACTGCATTGTACAAAATAGTGCAAATGTTGGTTGAGAAGTATACCTGGTTCTTCTATGCTGAAATGGTAAAGAGGTGGTGCTAAGTGTAAACTTACGTTTCAAAGGGCACAGATATAATGAACTTTACAAAATACTACTTAATGTATTTGGATTTTAAATTATTAACTCTGGAAGTGAGAGAAGGAAAGCAAACTTTTCCTACCAAGCATCCTTCTTGCTCCTTGGTTGTGAAGCTCTAATAGCAACAGAGCTCCTTCTGTCCCATACTTCACGTATTTATTTCCTGATATCATAGCCTGAAGTTGCCACTAGGTGGCTTTTCCCCTTGAATAAAGATGGGAACATGCCACCCTTGGTATGTTATCAAACTGCAACTCTTGCCATTCCTCACCACTTGGTGTGTGGACTATGGCAATGGAAAGTAGCCGTCCAACTCTGCCTTTCCAGCAGCCCTTAAAAGAATATCTCTCAAGCTGATTGAGGAGTACCAGTTCGAAGTGAAAATCTAGTTCTGAATAGCCCCTAGCTTTCAGAGGTAGACAACTACACTTCTCTCTTTTTGCAGGCACCATTGCATAACCTGGTATTTCTCCGCTTTAGCCATGGCCTGGCCTGTGTCCAGAGCTAATTAGGTTAGCCCCATTCTGTCATAATTTATGACCCCCTTCATTCTCTCATAAATGATTGTGTGTTTGAGTGGGTGGGTATCTTGGCCATCTTTCTTTTCCCTCTACTTCTAAAACCCATTTTGCTTACCACCCATCAGATTATGAATTGTGAACCAGCTGAATCTTGCTCATCTTGTGTTTGAAATTGATAGGATTAGAATGTGAACATATTTTATTTCTGCCTGCATGCAGAAATCCAAATCTGTATTCTCTCTTGTTGGCTATCACAGGAGATTAAAAAGAAAAACAAATGTCTGGAACCCTTTTTGGTCAGAATAGAATTGGATAAAGTCTGTAGTCATGATTCACCTATATGAAGGAAATATATCTGCCAGGTGATAGGAAAACAGCTGTAGTTGAATTTGTGCTACATGTCTCTATTCCTTTTTAAGAATTTGCTGATAATTTTGTTTAATCTCTTGGCATAATTAGATGAAATTTACAGGGATCATTCCTGCCAAAATTCAGATGAATTGGTACAAGAAGCTGTGATATGAGCAGGCCCAAACTTTGGTGCTTATATGAAACAATATACTTATTCCCACTTTGTGTAGATAGCTGCTATGAAAATGATGTATCATTAAGAAACACACACCCTTTCAGAAGGGTTGGTGCCATGTTTTGTGTGGAAGGATGATTCACCTCTCTGTGATTCTGCATGCCAGCCAGTGTGGTGTAGTGGGTAAGAGCATGGGACTGGGACTCAGCCGATCTGGGTTCGAGTCCCCGCTCAGCCATGGAGCCAGCTGGGTGACTTTGGGCCAGTCACAGACTCTCAGCCCAGCCTACCTCACAGGGTTGTTGTTGTGGGGATAAGATGGAGGAGGAGATGTAAGCTGCCTTGAGCCCTTTGTAGGAAAAAAGGCAGGATATATGTCGAAAAATCAATCAATCAACATCAATGTTTTCCTAGGCAAAAAGCTAAAATTTCTGAAGGACAGGTGCAGGAACTATGAAATTATAACGAATGATAAAGAGTACAGAAAGCAAAGGAACCACAAAGCAGATACCACAAAAGCCCATATTGTTGTAGCAAGGGAAACACAAGTCATGGAAGCTTTTTATAGAGCTTTCCAGATCTCGTAGCTGTGCCAGTCCTTTCGATTCCCTACAGGTCTGGTCCTGCAGGCACTTCCACAATGAAGCATGCTGTCCTTCACATCACCAGGAAGAGCTGTGTCACCACTGCAGAGCCTGGCAAGAAGATGCAATATTGAACAGTTGTCTGGAGAACCTTTAGCAGCTGAGGGGTTTTTGGTGGGCAGGCTGGGGTAATTGCACACACAATTGCTCACGTTTGAGAAGTCTAGGGATAGGAATTTGCTTTCCTCATTCCACTCTTTTAGTGCATCTTTAGTTCATTTTGCTCTGTGGTCTGTTCTTGAATTTCAGTTTAACTAGAAGTACATTTTAGAATTAGTTCAGTTTACGACAGCTTTCCATTCTTTCAGGGCACTTTCCCCTCTTACTCTCTCAAAGTTCATAGTTGTGATGTGATCATATGAAGTACTGTATTAAGATACTTTCTGTGGAATGTTTAACTGATTCACACAAATATTCCTGCAAACTGGTAAAGCACCATAGAAAATAAAATATTAGTAAATGTCTGTATAATCACATCATGTTTGCTTTCATGCATGTTGTATCAGTGCACAGAAACACTCGTGCTCATCAGTAAAACACTGCAGAAAAAGAATTTGATAAAGCCATGTGCAATTAACCAAGGTAGTTGTATGTATGGCTATGTGTACATATGTTTGTGGATTTGTATTAATACATGATAAAATTGGAAATTTCTATGTGGGACAGTTCTGCTATTATGCAGATGGAAGCCTGAAGATATGCATAGACAAGACAGTTCCAGAGAAAACTTTTTCTTCTGTTCTTCCTCAGCAAGAAGTAAATTCCCCACATTCTCTTTCCTCCTTTTGGATGCTTTGGTACTATTAAATACAATGGCTTTAGCATCTTGTATTAATGTATCTTGTGTTTTCGTTGTTGTAAATCTCCCTATGAG